ACAGTTTGCTCCCAATTCATACTGGAATATTGCCAGCAATAATTAATAAAGCTTGTTCAGAAAACCATTTATTCCCGACATCATATTCAATGGCTAGTTCTCAGGATCTACAACAGTAAATAAATAAACAGAAATCATTTTGATGCGTGGTTTTTAGATGACACTGCCATATCGCACAGATATTCAACACCACCATATCGAATTTGGATTTGGACCATACCATTTCAAGCTGCAGGGTGTCTAAACAATGACTCAACAAACAATAAACACATCTTCCACCCACCACACAAATTTTAGCCACAATTGAACAACCAAGAAAGCAACAAATATCAGGCTGCATCTTGAAAACAACGAGATACCACATTACAACCAGTCATTACAAACATGAAATCCCCCACCCCTCCCAGTACACCCTACAGCATTAATGGTTCCTATACTCATATATATATATATATATATATATATATATATATATATATATATATATATATATATACTGTAATTAATAACAAAATAGCTTTGTTTGCTGGTTATGCAAAAATATTCAAGAAAATACAGTGTTTATAATATTCTATTCAAAACGATTTGTATACACTTGACGTTTGGAGCGTAAAATAGGGTATGGTTTACAATGCAAGAAGCTGCAAAGTGCTGTCTGTTAGTCAAGATATGTCTTTAATAATTGGAATATACACCATGAAAAACCTAGAGTTAGAAATACTAGCATCTTTTTCTTCGGGGATCACTGTTACGAATATTTGTTAATGGAACCATCATATTGAAATAAAAATCACGACCCTTCAAGGGAGATTCTCTTATTTCGTTTATACCAATTAGACTTAACGACTGAATGATTACTTTATGTCACGAGACCAAATCTGGAATACAGTTGCCCAGTATGGTCCTTAGGAACTACGAAATCTATGTAATTATATGAGACCGTCAAAAACGTGTCAGTAAAACATGAGCAACAATTATGACATTGAGTTTAAAGAGCGTCTGCTCAAGTGTAAGTTGTTACCATTGTCATTACGGAAAGAGTTGAATAACGATATTTCTTTTATAAATTAACCAATATTTTAATTGATCTTGAAGAAGCAAAATTGCCTACCGTGGTGATCATAACTATGGAACGGAACACGAGTATGCAGGGATAATACTAAATTATATTTTAATTTTACAAAATCTAAGTCATGTAAACTTTTCTTTACATATATTATCCCTTTTCAAATAAGATCTAAATAATTCAAACAACGTTCTGTACACTTTTAAAAGAACGGCAAAGTTATATATAGGTGTCGATTCATTTCGTTTAATGTTTTTAAATAATAACCATATAAAAATGTAAATTAGTTTATTGATTATTTTATTGATTATTCTGTTATGTATTCTGTATTGTTGCCAGTATTACAGTAACCGATCTTTCCCACCTGTGTTCCACTGACTCTTCATTTAGAACACGTAGAATTTCTTAAGATCTTAGTTCTATGAAGGTAAAGCATGAATGAATGCAAGACTTTCTGTTTTTGATAAACAACCCGGCAACGTGGTTTATATTTAAAGCGCGGTAGTCGTCACGCAGCGCGTGTTC